TATCTTTAAGAGATATTGATTACTGACTTGATCGTCAGAGTGCCCTCGAGTGGATGAACTACCGCCTGATTCTTATCTTTCTGTGACAAGTTGTTCGAGCTTAATCTATTCTGTCGGTACTCTCCAACTGAATTCTCCCGTTTGGTTATGTAGTTGGAAATCAACACCCACACTATCATTTAAAATTAATTATTACTAACTATTTCTATTAATTGATTAATCAAAATTTTAAATCAGACCCAAAGTATGGTCAGAACAATGCCCATATTTTAGGTTGACCTTGGATAGTTTTTTTACACATATATATACTTAATTATTCATGTAATAATTTTAAATATAAATATAAAATTTTATCAAAGTTTGAATTTTTTTAATAACTATGCATGAACATGTACATATTTCTTATTTTATTATAAAAAAATATTAACATATATTTTTTCACCAATTTAATATATAAATGAGTTAAGAGGTTCATACGTAGGCATACACTAAGACAATTCTTTAATAATTAGGTCATGGCCAAGTTGACATAAACGTTGAATCAATTAGATTTATGTCACTTTTAGTGTCTAACACAATTATGAATCTTCAAGCCAACTATTATTTTGTATTCATGAATTATGACATAGAAGAAATTATAATTTTATAGTAGACATATTTTTAAACTTTTATAAAATAGACACTGGATAATTAATAAATTGACAAATATAATTTATTATATGATTGGGCTATCTCTAACATAAAACAAACTAAATTGTAAAACTTACAAAACAAAATGCATTTATATTTCATTGCAAATATAGTTTTTGTAATTTTATTGCATTTTTTTTAAAAAATACATTTTATCATAGTATATTTATTTTTTATAAATAAATTTATGTTATTATTTAATTTCAAAATCAATTTTTAATTATTTATTTAAACTCATGCATAGCACGGGTATTATGGTTTATAAAATAATTTTAAGCAATAACACATGTACTAAGAAAATCCGTTAAGAAAAGATGAGTGAGAGAGAAAAAAAAAGAAAATGAAATAGAGTGTAAGAAAATCTAAAAATTGTATTTGCAGGTAAATGCTGATTTTTGGAAAGATAAGAGGGTAAATGTCATTGGTAGTTCATTATTTGTCATTTTCATTTTGTTATTTAATTTTTTAATTTAAACAACTTTTTGCAAGATTGAGTTTCACAAAAAAAAAAAAAAAGTTATTATTATTATTACTATTATATGACAAACTAAAAAAATATAATTAGTAAAAAATAATAATAATAATTATTGAATTTGATATAGTTAATGATATCATTTAATGTATGACAAATTAAAATTATGAAACCTTAGAAAATAATAATATATTTATATTTTATCATAGGTGTAGTTTTTATTCCTAAAAATAAAAAAAAGTACAATTTTATAATTTATCATAATTTTTGTTTAATTTTTATTAATTATATTATGATTCATGTTATTGTTATTTACAACTTAAAACATAGCATTAATGGTTAGAAGGGGGAAAAAATGAAATTGTGATAAAACTAATAAAATTTTATTAATTTTATTTTTTTACTAATTAATTTTAATTGTAAAATTAATTATTATTTATTTATTTCAAACTGTCCATTGCACAGGGTAAATAAATAAATGAATTGACTTTTTCGTGCAGCAGAGCAGATAGGCGGCGCATGCTTGCCTGAGTCAACCTCGTGTGATCTTGAATTATCACAATGTTAATTTATAACATTTACTTTATTATAGTATTACTTTATTATAGTATTGTATTATGTTATTTTGAGATAATCTATTTAAAGTGATTTTTTTTTTTTAAATTTTTATTGACAAGATAAATGTGATCTAATTATGTATCAATTATCTAATGAATCTAATTTTTACATAAATACTTTGCACGGAACAGTTTATAAAATAAATAATTTAAATTATCAAAGTGGATTCCATGATAGGCTTTGTTAACCTAGATAGTATATTTTTTTGAGCATTGCTATTTAAGATAGTAAATTAGATCCAATTTTAAAGTTCAGTAATGTGTCAATCAATTAGAATATTAAAGGTAACACTCTCTCATATCTTCTCTAATTATCAATCAATCATATCACTTAAATATCATTGAATTTATAAAATAGATTTAAAAAGTAGACTTGTATATTATTTTTCATTTTTTTTAATTACACATAGTAAGAGAAATGGATTGGCATAGTGAATGGCCGGATATATACTAAAAAATAAAAAAAAGAAGAAGATTGGCATGTTGAATACAAGGACTTTCGTGATGTATGATCTCGACTTTTATGGTCATTGGTGGAGCTTCTCTTCCCCTATTTAACATATAAAAAAAATTAAAATAGAGTATTACTTTAATAACTAACTCGTTTGTACATAACAACAGAGTTCAAGTCATGTGCTCTCAAAAAGTATCTAAAAATTAAAAAAAATAGTGTTGATTTAAATTTAGGTGATATTTGATAATTTATTTTATTATTTAAAATTGAATGTGTTAAATAAAAAATTAATTAAGTCAATTTGATAATTACAATATATATCACTTAAAATTTTAAGTGATCATTAAAATATAGACTACAAATTTTAAGCAACAAAATTCTTACTTAATTCTAAGTACATTTATAATATTTTAATTATAAATATTGACATGCATTGTTGTGACCTTATTATTTCCTGCTATCATCACCATCAGTGTCACCACACTGCCACCACTACTACTATCACCACCACCGTAACCACCTTTACTTCCTCCACCATTGCTACTGTTGCTGCTATCAACACCTTTCCATTTTAACCTCTTTACTACCATTACCACAACTACCAACCCTCCACCTCCAGCACCATCACAATCTCACCTTCACCATTGCCTCCACTTCCACTACTACCACCACATCTACCTCTACAATCACTACACCTCTACCACCACCATCATTGCAACCACTGTTATACCACTACGCCGCCACAGTCATTGTCACCACCACTGACCTTTCACAACATTGCTAGACCACTACCAATAATATTTAAAGTGTATCAGAATTTTTTAAATAATAATAAATTTCACATTCCAGTGTCTTATACATATAAAAGAACTTGAATAAATTGATCACTTAAATTTTAGGAATACCGAACAATTTTTTAGTTAAAAAAAATGCTAAGATTCAATTTTTAGTAATTAATTTTGAACTTTCAGGTTTTAGTGTTTAGTTTTATAGAATACCAAATTAGCGTAGTATGAATTACATTCAAATTAGATTTAGTTCACACATTTTATTGTTAGAATAATTTTAAAATATTTTTTTAATGCATATTATTATAGACAAATTTAATAAAAAATTAATAATCTGACATTATTCATTTGAGAGGTTACAGGGTAGCATCAAAGCTTTTTGCCCCACTCTTAAAATGATGTATATACCACATGAAAATTATAATATTTGTCGAGTTAATTATCACAACGGTCATAATTAAATCATTTTAGAGTAATAGCTATAAAAAAAAGAAAAAAAGAAAAGAAGAAGTCATAGTCAAATACCATATAAAGTATAATTAAAGACATTTTGGATTATAACTAAAATAATATCATAACCAGCATCACAATATGTATAATCAAGTCATGACTAATATCAAAATAAGTCATAATCAAATATTACTAACCGCGTGACTGGAGACATATGATACACATAAAATTTTGGAAAAATATCAAATCAGCAAGACAGTCAAATTATTTGAATTTTCATAGTGGTGCAACTTTATTGTGTGTATAGTGCAAATCCTCCCTATGTATGGTGCAAGTCCTCAGAGTGTGTCAAAGTTACACCATAAAAAATTTCACTCTAGTGCAATAATTTCTTCACTATTACACGTATTTGTAATTTTCCTAAATTTTTTGAGTATTATCATGAAAAATCAATAAAAACAGACTATTATCATTTGGGAAATTATTAGATAAGAAAAGTCTTTGTGATTTTGGTTATGAATTAAATAGTGTGTGGTTATGATTCATTGTGCTACTAAAGTTTTTTTTTGGTTTAACCGTGTTAGTTATGATCATTATGACCTAGTTTAATTATTATTTTAGTTATTACTAAAGTAGTCTTTAGTTATGTTTCACATAATGTTTCAGCCAAGTTTGACATATTGTAAAAAAGTTAAAAAGTCAAAAAGTTATTCAAAAAGTTAAAAAGTTAACACTATTCACTAAAAGTAAAGAATTACGGCTGCACAACTCCCAATCTTAATTTTTTCATACAAATTAATTTTTACAATTTTTTATTACACATTTTTCCATAAAAAGTCAAAAAGTTAACCCAAACATCTATATTTTTTTCCTCAATTTTTTAGTCCAAAAAGACAAAAAGTGCACTTATTTAGGACACCACAAACAACCCCTTAGTTATAATGCATTGTGAGCCCTTTAATTTTAATTAAAAGTTGCTTAATTATAAAAAAAAAAAAAAAAAAGCAATATCATGGACACAAATATGGTACATGCAAAGTATAAAAAATAAAAAACAAATAAAAAAAAAGTGGTTGAATCTCCCATTTGTTTCCTTATTATTATTTTATTTTTATGGTGAACCCATTTGTAAATAGCTTACAATAATTCGTAACTCATAAAATCCCCCAAGCAAAAAAAAAAAAAAAAAAAAAAACCCTAATTTTCGTTACGATAGCGATGTGTATATAATAGTAACCATTTCCTAACATTTATAAAAATATTGACATTTTCCTAACATTTATAAAATTATTTAATTTTCACTCAACTTGTATAAATTCACCAAGGATCCCCTAGAGTGAAATTTCCCTAAAGTTTCCTAAAGTGCTACAGTGTATGGTTGAGATTTCGATAGCGATGTGTATATAATAGTAACCATTTCCTAACATTTATAAAAATATTGACATTTTCCTAACATTTATAAAATTATTTAATTTTCACTCAACTTGTATAAATTTACCCTTCTCCCCTGCAACAAGTGCACCATACAATCCATCTCTTCTCTTCTCTCTCTCTCTCTCTCTCTCTCTCTCTCTAAAATTAAGAAAGAAAGAGATAAAAGAAGAAATGGGTGCTAAAGGAGAGTTCAAGGTGAAGGTGAGCAAGAAGGAGGTGGTGGCTGCAGTGTTGCCAATGCAAGAGCATTGGTTGCCTCAGTCCAACCTAGACTTGCTCTTGCCTCCGTTGGACGTGGGTGTGTTTTTCTGTTACAACAAGCCCACCACTGGCTCATCTCTCACATTTGGGTCCATGGTCAGTGTTCTCAAGAAGGCCATGGCTCAAGCTTTAGTATCATACTATGCATTTGCAGGGGAGATGGTGGAGAACAGTGTGGGTGAACCTGAGCTTCTCTGCAACAACCGTGGAGTCGACTTCATTGAAGCTTTTGCCGATGTCAAGCTTCAAGATCTCAGCTTATACAATCCTGATGAGACTATTGAAGGTAAGTTGGTGCCTAAGAAGATGCGAGGTGTGCTCTGTGTTCAGGTATTTTGATCTTTCCTCCAACTCCTATATGTTGACCATGAAAATACCATGTTAATGATAAATTCGTTGAAAGAAAGCAGTATCTAGAATGATGTGGCAATATTTCATTTTAATATCAAAAGCCCATCAGATTATGTTTTTGTAGTAATTTTTATATAACAATTCTATTTGTAAATCGTTTTCTTGATCATCAATTACATCGTAAATTATAAATTTAAAATATAGAAAAATCATATTTGTGTAGTGAATGCAGATTCTTTCCATTTTATAGTTGTAATGCAAAATTTTCACTATATATTCAATACGTATAAGATAGGCATGGGAATTTATCATTATTTAAATTTAACAAAATTATTGTACTTGAGGTAATTTTTTTTCACAATTGTAAAATGATGTAATGAATATCTTACATTACAACTATGTAATAGAGAGACTTGCAATTGTATATTAAAAATATTGGCCGCTATCATATTTTTGTTACACTTTGAAAAATAATAATTTGTAATTTTTCACTTGAGTAAGAAAACAAATGACATGATTGTGTTTTTTGTACTATCATGTTTAAAAAGTTATAAAATTTTTATAACCAATCATCGATCACTTATTCAAAAAAAAAAACTAAAAATTTATGTTTAAAATAAAATAGAAGTAAAAGACATAAAAACAATAAATCAATGTCATTTTTAATAAAACCGTCAAAAAAAATTTACTTTATTTTCTGTTTTATTTTAGATCAATTCCCATTTTTAATTTTGTTGACAGCGGTTGACCCTTCGATTTGAAGGTCTTAGCATACCCTAATTTGCAAAACAACAAAATTTCAAAAAATAAAAATAAAAAATAAAAAGAAAAGTAAGAGAAAATTGGACAGGTACAATATTGTTAAAAAAATACATTACGGTATTTCTAAAATTTATTACATGATCACAAAGATGGGTCATCCCGATTCTTTTGATCATCCAAATGCTTTTAAATTTTGTCGGATTATTATTGACAAAAAAAAAATAAATTAATTTGATAATTATAATTTATTTGAATTATTAAAAACAAAATTATCATTCATTTATTCTGTAATAAACATAATAAATTGAATAATAGTCTCCAATCATGAATTGCAGGAAATCCCACTTTCAAGTTCATTTGGTTTGGTGGTGTATTTTAATTAAATATGTCTCAGGTCGCATTCTTGAAATGGAAGCTTACTAGGCTGTTGAATTAATCTAAAAGCCTTGCCATTCTTTCCACTTTCATTTTGCACAACCATTTTTAAATGAGAAAAGTTACGGATCATAAAAAAAATTTTCATGAAAATGATCATGAAAGATTTATAATTCTTAGATTATCTTAATTAGCATATGATACTTTATTTTAAGTGTAATTTAAAAACCATAAATCTTTTATGATCATTTTTATAAAAAAAATTTCATAATACTTAGTATTACTCTTTTTAAATCCGCATCAGGTGTAAATTGCGTCGGTCCATGTTATTCTAACCACCATTAATATACTACTCCCATAATCATTATTTGATGACGTGAGAAAAAGTCTAAAACCTGTTATCGATGTCGTGTTGATACACACGATCAACCATAAATGATAAATTTATATTTAATCGAGTTATAACACTGTATAGTACTGCCTACAGTTATTTACTATCAAAAAATTTAATATTTTTCTTTTGAATTACAGGCCACGGAACTCGAATGCGGAGGACTAGTGGTGGCGTGCACGTTTGACCACAGGGTGGCGGACGCTTACTCGGCCAACATGTTTTTGGTCTCGTGGGCTGAGATGGCTCAGGCCAAACCACTCTCTCTGTTGCCATCATTCAGGCGATCGTTGATCGTCCCTCAACGACGTGGGTTTTACAACCCTTCCCTAGATGCCATGTATGTGCCTGTCTCAGCCCTGCCACCTCCGAAAAATCAGCATCCCGACGCCGATTTCTTGATAAGCCGCATCTATTACGTCCAGGCTGAGCAACTGAATCGTCTCCAGTCATTGGCCGACGATAGTAGCATTGGACGCAAGACGACTAAACTTGAGGCGTTCAGTGCTTTCCTGTGGAAGATGGTTGTTGCTGGAGAAGTTGAAGGCGACAAGATCTGTCGGATGGGCATCGTGGTGGACGGTAGGGTGAGGATGGGCGACGGAGAAACTGACAAGTTGAAATTGATGAATTCTTACTTTGGGAATGTTTTGTCCATTCCGTTTGGCGAGAAGAGAGCTGATGAGCTCAGAGAGAGGCCGTTGGGTTGGGTGGCGGACACCGTCCACGAGTGTCTAGAAAGTGCGGTGACAAAAAAACACTTTATGGACTTAATAGATTGGGTGGAGGCTCATCGTCCCGAGCCGGCTCTGGCCAAGATATATGCCAACAGTGCGGACGAGGATACTGGACCGGCTTTTGTGGTGTCGTCGGGGCAGCGGTTTCCGGGGTCGAAGGTGGACTTTGGGTGGGGTACGCCGGGAGTGGGGAGGAGGATGCTGGACCGGCTTTTGTGGTGTCGTCGGGGCAGCGGTTTCCGGGGTCGAAGGTGGACTTTGGGTGGGGGAAGCCAATGTTGGGGTCGTACCATTTCCCATGGGGGGGAGAGGCTGGGTATGTGATGCCAATGCCGAGTCCACTGGGGAATGGTGATTGGGTTGTCTACATGCACCTGTTGAACGGCCAGATGGAGTTGATTGAAACACATGCGGCTCATGTGTTTAAGCCCTTGACTTTTGATTACCTGAATCTTGTTTGAAATAAAATGGAAGAAACTCCATATGTATCAAGAAGAGCATGATTGTCACATTTAATAATGTAACTTACTATAAGTTTTGGAATGCAATATTATCATCATCATATTTTTTAATTACATTTTATTTATCATAGTATATATAATGTTTTTTGTGCTCGTCTTTCTTTATTGATGTAATTATTCTTGTACCTTGTACTTTTACATTTTCATGAACAAAGTCTCTTTTTTTGTTAATAAAAAGTAAAATGAAGTTGGTTAAAAGTTGACTTTTGAATTTTTTTTTTTTGTCTTTTTATGAATAAAAAATGTGAGAAGTGATGTGACCTAAAATGAGTTAAAAGTCAAAAGTTGGCTTTTAACCAGCTTCTTAAAGTGTCCCAAAATAAAATAAAGGGGAAAAAAAAGTGATAAAATTCAATAAATCATTATAGTGTTAACACATAACATGATAAATAAATTATAGTAAACAAATAAAAAATATAGTCACAGTAGAATTATTGAATTGTGTAACTAAACTTGTAAAAAAAAAAAAAGAAGTTACAAATATATTTGGAAGGAGGAAATAAAGGAATAATATTTGAGAGGATTCCTCCAATCCAAATTTTGGACAGGATGGCACTGCTTGGGCGCATGTGGCTCATTACGGGTCAAGTTTCGATGACTGAAATATTTTATTTTGTTCGATGTTTCGTGTATTTTATCAACACAAAAAAAATAGATAAAATTGATAATTGTAACTTATTTAATTTATCACGTTTGTTACACAAAAAAAAAAAAAAAAACGATTATATTTTTAAAAATAAACCATTTATTTTTTAATTGAAATTATATATGATAAAATCATACTATTGTAGATATTAGATAAATTAAATTTTTTTATAAAAATGACCGGTATACAAAAAGCTAAACAATTAACGAACAGATAAAATTACAGATCTGTCCTATGTGATGGACTTAAAATACACTAATAAGTCCTAAAATGTTTATTGTCTCAATGCTTATTGGAAATATTGATAAGTTAAAAAAAGAGCAAGACGTAGGTGGTGTTTGATAACACTAAAAATTGAAAATTGAAGATTAAAAATTAAGTATTGAAAATTAAATGTTAAATTTTTTAAGTTGAAAAGCAATTTAGTAAAAATTTAAGTGTTGAATTAAAAATAAGTTGTTTGATATGTGTAAGATAAAATTTAAAATTTATTATTTTTAAATTGTATATTTTAATTTTTATATTTTGATGATAGTGGTGGTGGTAGAGTGGCAGAGTTGTGGTGGTGGTGGTGGTGGTGGTGGTGGTGCTAGTGGCATAGTGATGGTGGTAGCAATGATAGTAGTAGTAAAATGATGGTGATATTTACGACAATAATGACAATAGTAATGAAGGTGATGGTAGTGGTGGCCGAGGTGGTGGCAACGACATAATGGTGGTGGCAACAGCAGCGGTGGTGGTGGCGGTGGCATAGTGGTGGTGGTTGTTATAGCTGTAATGATGTTGGTGGTAGTAATAGTAGTGGTGGTGGTAGTAGCGATAGCGGTGGCTGTTGCTGTGGCATGGTGGCAATGGTATGATAATTGTTGTAATGGTAGTAATGGTGTCGGTGGTAGTAATGAGTTTATAATAGTATATATCGATATTTATGTTTAATATTTATAAATTTAATCAGAATTAAGTAAGTTTTATATGATTTAAATTTTTTTTAAATTTTAGCTTATATTTTAAGAAATACTTAAATTTTTAAGTAATATTAATTATTATTATCAAACGAATTTAATTGATTATCACTTAATTAATTTAATTTTAAATGTTAAATGATGTCATCAAATACTCTGTTATTAATATATAAGTCTAATCAATAAAATTGACCCGTAAATTTTCCTAAGGAATTACATCATTAAAATAATATCCACAATTTATATAGCGTACGAATAGTGAACTACAGTACAGCTGTGTTCGGCTTCATTGGAGATAGCCCAGCCCAGTTGATGAAAGGTGATATTACGGTTGTTTGGTATAGTTCTCAGAAAGTGATTATGGTCCTCTTTGGTAAGATTTATTTTTAGTTTATTTTAATTTTTAATTTAATTTAAGTTATTTTGATGTATTTAGTTTAGCTTAACAATACAGTTTATAATTTTTTGTAAGTCAAAAATCAATTTATTCTTTGAGTAGGGGAGGAGAAACTTAATTTATAAGTAAAAAATCAGCTTATGTTCACAGTTATAAACTATAAGCTGTTAGGCTATAAGTTATAATCATTTTTCTACAGCTCTACCAAATGGAGCCTATAACTTATAGCTTATAGTTGTAAACATAAGCTGATTTTTGACTTATAAATTAAACTTCTCCTCCCTCACTTAAAGAATAAGTTGATTTTTTTACTTACAAAAAGCTATAAGCTGTATTGTTAAGCTGAACCAAATACATCAAAATAACTTAAATTAAGCTAAAAGGTGAAATAAGCTGGAAATAAGTCCTACCAAACAGGACATACGTCTCATTTAGAAATATATTATTTTAATAATTTTTTAATTTTTTATAAAAAAATATGTAAAAAAATAAAGAGAATAATGTAATCACTATAAGAAAAATACATTTGGCGACTAAATTTTTAGTTGTCAAAAGTTGGTTTTTTAGTTTTCTCGACTAAATTTTTTAGTCGCCGGAAGTCTGTCGAGAAAGGTATTGGCGACTAAAAAACTTTTAGTCGTCAAAAGGCAAGTTTTTAGCGACCAAAACTTTGGTCGCCAATAGCAATTATATTTTTTAAATTATACATTTACCGACCAATGTTTTAGTCGCCAATACTCAAGGAATCGGCGACCAAACCTTTTAGTCGCCAAAAGCTCATTCATGAAAGAAAAAAATTACACTCACTAGTTTCTCATCTGCTCTTGTCGAGATTCAAACCATCAACCTCCCACGCCATAAACCTTATACAACACATTCTTTCCACTACACCTTTATAACACCATATAATTATATATGCAACATATATTATTTATATAGTACATAGACCCGTATTAATATAAAAGTATATATATATAAAGATAATTATTTTTTATTGAACATAGTTTATGTACAAATAAATTATTTACTAGAAAAAAAAAAGACTACTTTTGGCGACTAAACATAATTTTAGTCGCCAATTCTATACTTTTGGTTACTAATAATTTTTTAGTTGTTAAAAAATTTAATTCCCGTGTTAAAATTACCATTTTTGGCGACTAAACTTCTTTTTAGTTGCCAAAAAGCTTCACTTTTGGCTACTAAACATCTTTTTAGTCGCCCAATGCCTCACTTTTGGCTACTAAATTATTTTTAGTCGCCAAAAAGACTCACTTTTGGCTACTAAAATTTTTTCAGTCTGTAAAAGCCACACTTTTGGCGACCAAACATCTTTTTAGTCGCCCAATACCTCACTTTTGGCTACTGAATTTTTTTTAGTCGTTAAAAAGCCTTACTTTTGGCTACTAAATTTTTTTTAATCTGTAAAAGCCATATATCGGCGACCAAACAGATTTTTAGTCGCCAAAACTTATACTTTTGGCGGCTAAATTTTTTTAGTCGTCAAAAATCTTTACTTTTGGCTACTAATGCTTTTTCAGTCGCAAAAACTTATACTTTCAGCGACCAAAAGTGCTTTTTTAATTTCCAAAAATACTTTTTCTTATAGTACATAATTTATAATATTTTTTTGACTTTTTTATTAAAACTGAAAGTGATCAAACGAAACTTTAATATAAAGAGTCTAATCAAATGCTAAAAGTAAAAATACCAGGTAAAATCGCCATGCATGTGAGATAAGAAATAACTATAAAATATAATTTTATATGAATTCACTACTAAAAAAGTGACTTTTTGCGTCTAGTTTTTTGCGACCCACAATTTAGCCGTCACAAAAAGAAAACATTTTTGGAAATGATCTGTGCCAAAAGGCATATTTTACCCCTATTTTTTATTCCTTCACTGACCCCAATTTATTTTGCCCTTTTGTTACACTCACCTATGCCCTAAACCCTTTCACTGTCATTTTCACGACATTGATAAACAGAGAGGTCTCTCGCACTCTCTGTCTCTCTCGCTCTCTTTGCTCGCCATGGTCGTAACTCTAGTGGTATGAATCTCTCTCTCTCTCTCTCTCTCTATCTCCTTTCTCTCTCTCTATATACATACATATTTGTATATTTATATATGTATATATATTGTGGATTGCAGGTAGAGTTCTTCATATGCTTGGTATTGACGATCTTAGGTTACATTCCTGGAATAGTTTACGCTCTCTATGCGATGCTCTGTGTCGATCGTGATATGACTCGCGCCGATTACCGTCCACTCGCCTAGTCTCTTTGTGTGTGTGTGTGTGTGGAAATCTGTGTGTGTTTAGCTGTAATCTCATGGTATTATACTCTAGCCCTATGTGTGAAATCAATTTGAATGAGTTTAAACTCTTGCTATTTGATTGAATCGCTTTGATTTAATTCTATTCTTCTCTTATTTATTTCTATTTCAAATACCTGTGTATAGATTTTGGAGTGATTTGAACTCATGATTGATCTAACTCTCTCTCAGCTACGAAGCTTTGGTTATATCTGTGTTCATTCATTGCTGAGTAACTTTGATTTATACCGAGATTCACATATTTTTCTGATCTGCTTTTAATTTTCATCTATATATCTTTACTGTAAGTTTGATAGTCATGATCGGTGATGGATTTCTGTGGTTCTACATGTATAGAAATTGGATTGGCGTGTGCTCTGTTTTAACTTAATCGAAGTTTAATTTATAATTTCTTTTTGTTTGTATCCATGTGATTTTGCAGTGATTGCTCATGGAATCAATGCCGCAGATGTGAAGAAACTTCAAGATGTTGGGATCTACACTTGCAATGGCTTGATGATGCACATGAAGAAGGTACATTGATTTTCAATTTCGATTTTGTGAAGTTTTTAAGTTTGGCGTTTGCATTGAGGTTAAGGTAGCCAAAACACGTTTGATGATTTTGTAGATCAACTGATACTCAATTGGAAGAAAACTTGTATATATATATATATGTATTTGAAATGTTTAGTTGAATTAATACGTGCTGAAAATTTGATCATATTTTTTGCTATGTTAAATTAAATCTAAGATTTGGACTTTTGAATTGGTCATGCTAGCAAAAAACAACTACATTTATTTGTTATTTATTTTAGATTTTTGATCATTTGATCAAATTCTCCTAAAACCGAACTAATTGGTACATGTATATATTTAATTTTCACATTTTATAAATAAAAATAAAAAATTGGAAATAGATCATAAATGCCTTTTTGGTGGCCTTCATTCTCAATATTCTTTGCAATAAACTTAACTGAAATTTGTGTGTGTGTGTGTGTATGTACAGGAGGTGAAGTTAATTTTTAAGATTTGTGATATAATAATAATTTCGAGATGGCGCTTTTGGATCTCTTCATTGCCTCATCAATTCCAGTCCTAAAAGTGCTCTGGGTGACTGCACTTGGGTCAATTCTTGCATTAGATCATATCAACATTTTAGGGGAGGACACGAGGACGCATATGAATAATGTAAGTGATTATTTTTTGAATTTTAAGTGTTTTTCTTATTCGTTCGGTTTCAAATGATTTCTTTGGTGCTTTATATCACTTGTTATGTATGTCCCTACAAGGACCAACAATTTTGCATTGTGGAGCATCATTCATTGGTTGAAACTTTAAAGAAAGGCTTTTTCACTCAGATTCTGAATTGTCATACTCTAAAATATGTATCTCTGTTCTGTTTGACTAAGTTTTTTTTAAGTCTCATTGATGTTTTGCTTTTATTTTTGTTGAGCAATTAAAAATCCAAGATGAGAGCATTTTCCTGATGAACCATCGGCGCAAAAAAAAAAAAAAAGAAAAAAAAAAAAAAAAAAAAAAGAAAAGTTATCTCCCTTGGGTTCATGCATCTTCGTGTGGATATGTGTATATGTCAATGTTCAGCGACAAAGGTTATCCGACACCATCACACACATACAAGCTTAATTGAACTGTATACCAATTATTTTTTTTCAGATTTTTTGGATATATTCTCATTAACAAGATTCCCCAAGCACACATATGGGCTTGGCGACAAAAAATTTGTCACAGATAAAACCTTAACTAATCACCAATGATTTCTTAGATATTGTCCTGATCCAACTAATAAATTGCTGGAAGCCTGAATAATTATTTTTGTAAATGCCATGAAGGATAATAGGCACCCACCCAAATTTCATCTATCCATTGGCTTTAAAAGCTTTAGTAGCATCCATAGTTTAGCTCTGTGATGGATATGATTTCCATCTTCCTGTGACTTCTAATTAATTTCTCATAGTTCTATATGGAAAAGTTGGTCAAATTCTACAAACTCGGGGACTTTGGTTCACTGGATTTTGTATTATTTTATTTGCTTTGTGCAGTTGGTTGCAAAGGGAGAGGAATTTGTCTATGAATAACTTTTGGTTCTAATCATTGTTCTTGGTAGAGTTCATGACAATGTGTTTACACTTATGCATGTTGCATGTCTATGTGTGGTTTTGGATAATCCCCTGAAAAATCTCTCTTTTAGATGTGGACTCATTAACCTTTTTGCTTTTTATCTCAACTAATCTATGGAAAGGACAATCAATGGAGATTGGGAAAGAGAATCCAGATATATTTTTTACAGATCGTGAAGGAAGGAGAAATACTAAATGCCTATCTTGGGGCATTGATAAAGAACGAGTACTAAAAGGAAAAAGTGCTATAGAGGTATTACATTATCAATTATTTTTTGGTACTTGTCATCTCTTCTTATTCTGAACAAAATTTTTAAAATTTATCGATGTTTTTCTTTATTTCAATTGTAACTCCATAGTCCAAGCCTCATTTGTTTCAGGGCATGATTATGTTCAGTTGCAAAATTGATTTTTCATATTTCATAAATTTCATGTGGGCGTGACCAAAGCATGGTAGTCATCTTTTATTTCTTTCTCATGTGCTGGGATGCACAGGCCCTTTAATACTCTCAGCTTAGTATTGTTCCTTGTAACTTACCTTAATTAAATTGAACATGCTTAATTCTCTTCTGATATATTTAAATCTGGTTGTGTCCTTGATAACATTAATCTTTTTAGACCTTACCCCCTATTTTATCACTTTGCTGAACTTGTAAAAATTCAGGGGTCAATTTTTATAATATTGCTTCGTAGTCAATTCTGACCTGTTTGCTTTCTACTTGTCTGAAAACTGGTACATGCCTTGGACGTATAACTTGTGAGGAGAATCCTTATTAAGCCTCTTCTCTTAGTGGGTAGTGTAATTGTTGTTGGGATTTACACCTTCAGTTAGTCTGTATGTGAGCCTCTGACAAATTTATAGTGATATTGCAATTCTGTCTTTTGGAAGTGAGGGTCAAATAACAGGTGTCCTAGTGTAGATATTTTTAGTTCTAAATGCAGTCCGTGGCTTTTATTGGTGCTCCCCTGTTTGTTATTGCTGAATCTGGTTTGTGGGATTTGGCCTTTCTCTGCTCCTCCTCTGTCTCTGCTGTTGCTGCTGCCAACGTCGATACCATGGCTATTCTCGAACAGCTTATGCGCTTTCTCTCATTTTTCTGACGTTCACCATTGCTGCAATGTATATCTTTCTCTCTCTCTCTCTCTCTCTCTCTCTCTCTCTATGTGTCACACACACACACACAATACCTACGAGTTTAAATTGAATATTTGGATTTGGATCGATTTATCTGAGAGTCCATTGTTGTTCTATGTTTTTGATTTCAGCATTGGATGCGTTGTTTTGTATACTGGACAAGGGAAGTTCCATACTAGCACATCGAATACATTGGACTATGTCATGTGGCAAGCTAACACCATTGTTGAGAGTCTTGGGAGTGTATTGGATTATCTTGAAGCAGCTAAGCATATCAGAGTGGATCAACTTTTTTTACCTCCTGATGTTCAAAACAACATCAACAAGGTTGAAACTGACATTAATACTGCTGCTCCATGGTTGGTGTAACCAAATTGCTTTTATAGTTCCATGGTTGCATACCTTGCTCTTAGTTTATCATTCTCTTCTGAATTCTCATAGTAGGACTTTTGCATATGATCTAGTGATAGTTCTTGCAACACCTTTGTTTTACAGCATAGTTGTGAAGATTTTGCTCTTCCATTCTTCATATATTTTCTTGGTCTTCACAATCTTAATCATTCTAGTCAGCCAAACAGTACCATCATTATTTGCCCTCTCAACCTTACTCATTGGCTTTGAGCTGTGGGCCTTTCTTCTTGGAATGTTATATAACACGTTTTCAATCATGGCCATGCTTATTGAATTTCTGACATGATTATTGCTTGCTAACTGACATAAACACCTCTCATCTCCTTTCAACACCTGTCAATCACATTCTAGCAAACATTTCACACTTGCATGTATGTCATCAAATATTTCTGTTGGAGTTTCTAAATAAATGCTTATGCTTTCTCTCATTGAAGTACTACTGAAACCCCATGTTATTTGTGAGTTTACATCTGATTTAAAATGCACTTATCATCAAATGTTACTTGTTTTCCCCAGGGGTCATCAATTCGACTAGTTAAGTCAATGCAGCCGGCTATCAGCAATCCGGCATCTGCTGATTCCATTATAAGCTCTAAAACTGATCCAAATCTTTGCTTTGCAACGCATGCCCATTCCAGCATCTCATTTTTTGGTCTTAGCGTGGAGAGTAGTGTTGCAGATCATCAAGACTGGTGCTTCTCCAATGGTTCTCATGGGAGAGCCGCCTCCATTGTGTCCTGAAAGTTCATTCCCTTCAACTAGTAGGAGCAGCGCTGTTTTGCGTTACATGGAAAAGAAGAAGACACGCAAGTAAGCGTAGAGTTGTTTTTTTTTTGTTTTTACACCATTTAGGTTAAAAAAAGAAAAGTATATTGTGTGGACCTAGGAAGCATGGATGTGTATTTAATTCACTTTCAATTCTTTTTGATTGTTTAGTTCTTTGGTTTAATGGAAATTATATTTTGAGGTTTGTGATAGTTTCGAGGAAAGTGTGGAAGAAGTGTTAATGCATGAATGTTGAGATTTTATTAAAGGAAGAAATGAAAAATAATACATGAATGTTGAGATTTTTGCAAATATGTCTTTACGTTTATTGTATATAATATTTGAATATATATATATATATATATATATATATATCTCTATATATATATACGATTGTAGGTTTTTTTTTTTTTTTTGCGACGGTAAGAAGATGGTCACTAATACATTGTAGGCATTTTTTAAACTCTTTTGCGACGGCAAAATATTAGTCGCTATAAGTAGGTTAGGTGGTCGCAAATAGTTTGCGACTGTTGTTTTGCGGTCACAAAAAGTATTTGCCACCCCTACATTCGCGACCCTCATTTGCCGTCGCATAGGTCGTCGCAAAAAGTCTTTTGCGACTGTTTTTTTATTATTTGCGACGGCTTATAACGGTCGCAAAAAGTACTTTTTTTAGTAGTGATTATTATATAAGTAGGGCACTCGAGTTTTGTAGTAAAAATAATATAACTAACTAGACGAGTAGTAATGACTTGAAACAAATGAATGATTGTGAATATTTTATTTATTTTGCCACTAACGATATTTTGAAACTGAAACAACAAAAATCATTTTACAAAATAGAACAGAAAGTTTGTGGCAATATATCTAGAATTAAGATTATTAATAAATTTCCTCCAAGCGTTGTTGTAATTTTTCAATAGTAATAAAATTTTCTTTGTTTGCTTGCCGTTCAAAAAAGAATTGAGAACCAGAAAAATGAACCCCTATTGCGTTATTGAAATTATTTTTAAGAAACTTAATTGACCTAGCCACTAGACCAGCAAAACCCTCAGGCCCTTTCTCGTTAGTACTCCGCAAATTGTCACTCTAAATGTTAATTTTACTAAAATATTTTTTTTTAAATTCTATATTATTTCACTCTTTTCTCTCATATCTTTCTCTTCCACTCTCTATTTCTTTTTCTTTGTGTGTTTTTATTTTCATATAATTTTGTTATTCACATTTTTAATAACTATCATATTTTAAATTATAATGATAATCATATCCACAAAATTGAAATACCAAATCATATTAATAATAAATAAACAATAAATGATCAACTAAACAAAGCAAAAAAACTGACTTACTTTGAAACAAAACCGAAACCAATATACTTTCTTATTCAACAACACATTTGATAATACATTAGCTATATTTATACAAAGTAATCAGGAGCTCAACTAACTATCTAAAGAAAATATCTTCTAACAAACTAACTATTTTCTCAACTGTGTAACTAACTCCTAAACAGATGAACTTCTTGAACTGCAATATGAGCTGGAGTCACCTAAGCTGGCTGCACTACTTGCAGCTAAGCTGTTGCACCACTTGAATCTGAGGTGGCTGAACTATATTCCTCAACATTACCCCTCAAACTGATAGGAGGAGAGACTGACATCAGTATGGATTGACGATAAGAGAAATGAGATACTGATAATGGTTTGGTAAATATATCAACCAACTGATCAAGAGTAGGAACATAGTTCAACTTAAGCTTTTTAGCAAGAACTTGATCACGAACAAAGTGGCAATCCACATCAATATGTTTGGATCAAGAGCGAAAGACTAGATTAGAAGCTGAGGCTATGGCAGAGACATTATCACACCAGAGAAGAGAAATTGTGGGAGACACAATACAAAGACCATGAAATAACATGCCAATCCAAGTTAGTTCAGCAGCAATATGAGCTAATGATCGCACGAACAAAGTGGCAATCTACTTCAATATGTTTGGATCAAGAGCGAAAGACTAGATTAGAAGCTGAGGCTATGGCAGAGACATTATCACACCAGAGAAGAGAAATTGTGGGAGACACAATACAAAGACCATGAAATAACATGCCAATCCAAGTTAGTTCAGCAGCAATATGAGCTAATGATCGATACTCTGCTTCAGTAGAGGATCAAGACACAGTGGCTTGTTTCTTGGCTAACCAATAAATAAGGTTGGAGCCCAGAAATACACAATATCCAGAAGTGGATTTCCTGTCAACAGAGTCTCCAACCTAGTTGGAATCAGAATAGGCCTGCAGAGCAAAGGAGCTAGGTGTATAGGTGAGGCCCTGAGACAGAGTTCCTTTAAGATACCTAAGTAACCTTTTGACACCAACAAAATGGCTAATAGTAGGATTATACATATGCTGACAGAGGTGATTTACAGCATAAGACAGGTCAGGCCTGGTAATTATTAAGTACTGCAATGCCCTAACTATACTTCTATAGAAAGAAGGATTGTGAAAAGGAACATCAGATTTGTAAGACAACCCAAGCTTAACAGAGATAGGGGAATCACATGGCTTACAATCCAACATACCAGCCTTAGTAAGAACATCCTGAGTATGCTTGGTCTGAGAAAGCACATAGGTAGAGCCAGAGTTTTCAACAGAGATACCCAAAAAATAAAACAGATTCCCAAGCTCTTTCATAGAAAACACCTGATGCATTTAGTAATAAGCAGCTGAATATGTGTAACATTATTCCCAGTGAATAGAATATTATCCACATACACTAGACGAGAAATGAAGACAGAACCGTGTTGATATATGAATAGAGAAAAGTCACATTTGCTATTTTTGAACCCTTGAGAGAGCAAAAAGATTGAAAAGGTAGAGTATCATGCTTTTGGTACTTGTTTAAGGCCATACAAAGCTTTGTGGAGCTTACAAACCTGCTGTGGATGAGAAGAATGCTCAAAACCTGGTGGCTGCAACATGTAAACCTCTTTCTCAAGAAGGCCATGAAGAAAAGCATTAGAGATATCTAGTTGCTTGATAGGCCAATGGTGATGGAGAGCAAGACATAAAAGAATGCGAATGATGGGCAACTTAGCAACATGACTAAAAGTTTCCTGAAAGTCAATGCCCTCTTGTTGAAGATAGCCTTTGGCCACTAATCTAGCCTTATGTCTAGCAACAGTCCCATTAGAATTCCTCTTGACCTTAAACACCTATTTACAACCTATGGCATGCTTCCCAAGAGGAAGAGAAACAAGGGACCAAGTTTTCTAAGCTTGAAGAGCCTGAAATTCTTCCAACATAGCCTGTTTCCAAATAGGAATAACCAAGGCCTCCTTGTGAGAGGGAGGTTCAACATCATAAGAAGAAAGAGAAGCGAGTTTGAGAGTAAGGAGAGTTGTTTTAGACCTAGTAAGCATAGGGTGACAATTAGAAGAAGAAGGCACAAAAGGAAGGGAAGTAAAAGTAGAGGTAGAAGTAAGAGGCAACTAAATAGAAATGGAGTTAATGGGTATAGGAGAATGAAGGGAATGAGAAATAAGGGGAAGAAAAGATTGAGCTGAAGAGGGACTGAGAGGTAAACCAGTAGAACGGTGAGGTAAACTAGTAAAATTGTGAGGTAAATCAGTAGAATTATGAGGGAAACCAGTAGATTTATGAGGTAAACCAGTAGAATTGGGAAGAGAAAAAGAACTAGATGCTGGTGAAGCAGAGGCAGTAGAAGGATGAGATACTAGTGAAACAAAAGCAGTGAGAATAGATGAAGTCTGTAAAGGTGTGAAAAAAGAAGGTGAAGAGTTAAGATGCAAGTGTGAACTAAGATGCTTAAACTTCAAAGCACTAGGGTGCCCTAGCCTATTATGCCAAACATTATTAGCAACAGAAGCAGAACTAGACAGCTTTTGAGAAGCAAAACTTGTGGAAGCTGCTGAAGAAGCATGATCATCAGATAGTGAAGTGGATGGAAGAAAGTGACATAAGCCATGAAGATTAGATCCTTTGTGAAGAATTTTCTTCGTAAGCTTGTCCTGAATGACAAATGTGGTATCATCAAAACTGATAATACAATTGTTATCTTGAGCCAATTTCTGAAGAGAGACAAGATTAGAAGAAATAAAATCTAAATGTAGCACATTATTCAATTTAAACAAGTGATGTGGAGTTGGAAGAAGGCCCTTAACAGAGTGAGATTTGAAGGAAGCAAGGATGATAATGGTGATTCCATGGATAAGTTGCTCATTGGAGCTCAGAAGCTTTGATACCATGAAACAAAACTGAAACCAATTTACTTTCTTATTCAACAACACATTTGATAATACATCAGCTATATTTATACAAAGTAATCAGGAGCTCAACTAACTATCTAAACAAAATATCTTCTAAAAAACTAGCTATCTTCTCAACTGTGTCACTAACTCCTAAACAGATGAACTTCTTGAACTGTAATCTGAGCCGGAGTCACCTAAGCTGGCTGCACTACTTGTACCTGAGCTGCTGCACCACTTGAACTTGAGCTGGCTGAACTATATTCCTTAACAAACTTAAGCATAACTCTAAATTTTAAATTTTAAATTACATTCATCTTTAGTTGTTTTACCACCAACTAAAAATTGAAATTATTTGCATTGTGGCAGATGGTTATGACATGAACTCAATATTGCTCTCCTTAAATCTAAATTCTAATTTTGCCACTACTGAAAGAGTTTGCAAAAGAGACAGAGATATAATGATATTTTCATAATAATTTCATGTGTTTGTGATTTTTTCTAGTCTTCCACCTCCACTGGTGCTATAATTCTAAAAAGCTTCTCACTAATTTAAAAATTTTAACCCCAACTTCAACTAGCCCATTATATTCTCTCTTTTTTTTTTTTTTTTGGTTGTATATATATCACATACTCTACATTATTATATAACTCTATTTTCCTCCCTAATCATGTGAGAAACTACCTAACCCTCAGTAAACTCCTTAATCATGTCAAAAACATGGGGCCAAACGATCACACATCAACTTATCAACTTACCAACTTTGAACAAATCACATTGATCTAGTGTTATTTTCTTTTCATTTTCTTTTTATTATTATTATTATTATTATTATTACTGCCAATAAGTTTCCCAAAAATAATTTGTATCTTACTTATTTCATAGATGGAATGAAAATTGAGAAATGTTATATATATGTATATATATCATTATTTTTTTTAATTACCATTTACATGGGTGTTATTT